GGGGGGGGGGACCCGACTAACTCATCTTTTCCCGATCGTCAGGACCCTAAAGAATGGCCGAGCCTTTGGGGAACGAGCTGGCGTCCGCAGCTGCCAGGGGCGACCTAGAGCAACTCACTAATTTGTTGCAAAATAATGTGAGCGCCAATGCAGAAAATGGATTTGGAAGGACGGCGCTGCAGGTTGGTATCCCGAGAGGTGGGGGAAACAGGTCCCCGAGGCTGCGTCCCTCCGGGAACCGGGCTGGGGGAGCGACAGCCAAGGAGCTGGCCGGGGTCCCCAATCCCACTCTTTTTTGAGACGGAGCCGGTTGCCATATTTTAGATCTCAACTTTAAGTCGATCCAACTCCCCCCAATGACGTACTTGGAATAAAATCGCCAAAGCCAATGACCTAGTCGATCTCAGGGAGGTGGCAGGTCTCGCCTCGTTTTTGAGGGGCTTCTGGGGGCCAGGGTCGGGGGGTGCTCCCCAGCAGTCCTTCCAGCGCTGAGGTTGCTCGAAGCAGATCTGTAAACACGTCTCAATGATGATTATCTGAAGTCAACACACTGCTATGAGTGATTTGGGCTGTTTTGCCCCGATAACTGCCTCCCAGGTCCACTTTCTCTACTCCTGCCTTCCAGGAGATTGCCCTTTGGGGAGCTGCGAGGGCTTCGTCTCCCGCCCAGCAGCCCCGGCCCCCAGCTCCCAGCCCTGGGGCGCGATGTCCATTTCACAGTTAACGCGGCTGCAATCGCCGCCGCCGCCGCCGCCGAGCTGCCTGCCACCCGCCCATTCACAAGGCAACCCGGGGGGAAAGGCGACTTTGCGGCTCGGCTAGAGGCTGAGCGCCCGCCCGTTCCTTAAATTTACAGACAACAGCCGAAATGCGCCCGAGTGCCAACTATTTATTGTACCTGATAGAATGGGGGTGTGGAGTTTTACGCCTCCACTTCCCTGAACAATATCACGATGTGGATGAAAAGAGACAAAAGGCATAAGCGTTTTCTAAAATAGTCTCCTGGTGTTCTAACAATCTATGTTACGAAATGCTACACTTGAGCCCTAGTCTTTTGGGGGTTTGGAGTGTTTGCTTTCAGACACAGAAATTAGGATTTTAAGTGACAGGAGATAGCTGTTGGCAGATGGAGTCCTTGTTCTCTTTTAAGCTGAAAATCGGGATCCAGGACCTTGCAAAAAATATTTAGTTTTCACTGAGCTTATGCATGGACACGAAAAATCTTTCCTGTTTGTGATTTCAGAGAGATTGAGGGAAAAGAGATACGATTGTCCTGATTTTTTTCTTCTAACTTTGCTCCACAGAAAGGTAGGATCACCAAAATGTCACACGCTGAATAGATTAAAAGGATTTCTGTTGAAAATCTAAATATTATAGAAAACCCAGAAGGGAAAGGGGCGCTTGAATTACATTAAAAAAAAAAAAAAGACTACCCAAACCCTGGGTTTTTTACAGAAATACAGGGAGAATTTTACTGTTAAATATGCCAGGGACTTATTTTGGGGTCAGTTTTTATATAAGCATACAATGTTGTTTACATTACATATACTAATCAGTATACTAATACCCACTTATTGAAGCTTAATCCTGACTGATTTAATGACACACACCTACTCTCCCCCAAAACAAAAAATCATGAAAGAAGAGAATGTAAATTTATTTTCAGTATGTATAATCTTGAAACGGTGAGTGGTGATATAATTTGAGAGAACTTTCTCTCAGCACTTTCCAATATTACTATTATTTGCTATGGGGAGATGGAAAATTTCCTTCCACAATTACATTAACTTAATTTAATTGCAGTAACTTTTTTTCCCCTTCTGAATCTTGATCTCCAAATTGGGATATTAATGGCAAGGCCTGAGTTGCAGATTTACTCTTCAAAGCTCTAAGGTGTCTGTGTCTCCTCATGCCTTCTCTTCTGAACACTGAATCAAACTTCAAATAACCTCGTGATCACCAGAAGGTGTTAGGTCAGGTTTTATGACTCAAAATGTTATTTCAGAGAACTTATTTTTAAAAAAAATCAATAGCCTTGTGCCCGATTTTAATCTTTGCCTCCTGAAGAAGGTCTAAAACAGGCAACAGTGTTGTGGTTAAGGAAAAGGTTAATGGCCGACTGTCTTCAGTAAGCACAGACTTAACATTTTGCATCTTTAATATATTTTACCACCATTAGTTAATTAGGGATTATTACTAATCAAAGCAATGCTCCTTTTCAGAAGGAGATCAATTTCGGGGGTGTTTTCCAACAGATTATAAATAGAAATGCAATACTTACTTGTCTACCTGAATGTAATAAAGATTTTTCACATGTTGACATTTTCTGGCTTATCAGTGAGAGACTCTATTTTCCAGAACCAAGAATCTATATTTTGTATTTTGTATGATGCAATCCAACATGATGTGACTTTAGAACACTACTAATGAGGGCCACTGGATGTAGGCCTTCTTAGCACAGTGAAGGAGGTTCATACACAACAATAGATACCTAGCATATGTCTGTGGAAATTTGCAAATCAAACCATTTGTGGACAAATGCTAATTACTGAGCCTTAATTTTGATGAAAAACATTAGAAGTAATTGACAATAGCTATTCCTAGCTGCTTGGACTATTAGAACTAAAGCAAAGCAGGGGAAGGGCCACTAAGTGATTATATAAGAAGGGAAAACAATAGTTCAAGGCACATAGGGACTCAAAGTAGACAGTAATCTCATCTTTTCTTTCCAAATCACCCATTTGAAACTCAAGTGGTCAGTTAGAACTTTGTAAAACAAGCAGCACTTTGTAAAAATGACCAGTAGTGAATGTTTGTATTTGTATTATTTAAAAGAACATTGGTCAGACAGCCTGTAGTTTCCTCTCAAACACAAACACACACGAACTCTGTTTTAGTTTGGTTTGATTTAGTTGGTATATATAATCGAAAGGGAGGAAGCCTCCTAAATTAGTGAATGTCTCAACCATCATTTACACTTTCTTTGGGAATGGAGGTTTCTAAGTATAAGATGCATCTCTTTACTCACTGTAAAGTGATTGGTCGATATAAAATGGAAAAAGAAATCAAAACTGCTTGTCCTCTGAGCTTTGATTTTATTTTGGAAATTAGATGTTAAGAAAATTAGATCATTCTGGATTAAAAAAAAAAAACCCAATCCCAATATATTCTAATATTGGGTGATGGAATGAAACCTAATACTGTGAGCACTTATTTTGTTGTTTAAGGAAGTCACCCAAATGGCTGTTTTTACTCCTGGGGCCCAGAAAATGTCACCCCTTTTGTGTATCACCAGATGTCATTTTTTCAGCTTGAACAAGAATAAAGATTGACATTCTTTATTTACAATAATCAGTCCCACAATCTCTTTCATTTCGTAAGCTTAATGAAATGGAAATTACACAATTCTTAAGTATTCTGGATTGAGAGCTGGAAGGGGCCTTAGCCATCCTCTGGTGAAGAATTTCTCAGTGATCCTGTTTTTAACACTAGGTTCCATGAGTGTATTTTTATTCACCTCCCTAAAAATCATTAAATAATTTCTCCTTGAAATTATTCAGCTAACTGTTGGTCCCTGGCTCAGGCTGCAAAGATTTTAACTGTGATAAATTTGCTATTGTATTTGCAGCCTGTTTAAGATCTTCTATCAGTCACTCAATTGTAGGAGTTTTCAAAATAATAATAATCACAATAACTTCCATTTCAACGGCATTTGAAGATTTATGAAGCATTTGGCCCACAACAGCCCTGTAGGATGATTCAAGTATGATTCTGTCCATTTTGCGGATGAGGAAACAGGCTAAGAAATGGGAAGTCCCCCAGCTAGGAAATAGCAAAGCGCAAATCTGGGACGGTAGGATTTAGGGGTGCAAAATCCTTGGTGCCTAGGGGAATCCAGCATCTTCGATTTTTCTCCCTTCCCCTGGCAGTACTTTCCGCATGCTCAATTTCCCCTCTGTTCAACCCTTCCACCCCTCACATCCCTGCAACCATAATGACCACTTTATTGTCCTAATCCGTATTCTCAGTAACAATTAATAGTACTGATCACCTAATGCCACCACCTTGGGTAAAGTAAGAGAGCCCAGCCCGACTGATGGCTCGGCGAGAACCTTGAAGGAGCCCACCGCCTGTCTTTCTGTTGTTCCCAGGTGATGAAGCTCGGAAACCCGGAGATCGCGCGGAGGCTTCTACTGCGCGGTGCCAATCCGGACCTGAAGGACCGCACGGGCTTCGCGGTCCTGCACGATGCTGCCCGGGCCGGCTTTCTGGACACCTTACAGACTCTGCTGGAGTTCCAGGCCGACGTGAACGTGGAGGATAGCGAGGGCAACCTGCCGCTGCACCTGGCGGCCCGCGAGGGCCACCTGCCCGTCGTGGAGTTCCTGCTCCGACACACTGCCTGCAGAGTGGACCACCGGAACCACCAGGGAGACACCGCTTGCGACGTGGCCCGCCTCTACCGCCGGGACGCCGTGGTACGACTTCTGGAGGCCGGCAGGCCCGACGACGCGGCCCCGCTCCCGGGCGGCCCGGCGCCCGCCACTTCGGCCCCAGCCGCCGCAGCCGAGCCGCCCTAGAAGTCCCAAGGCTAGGCCGGCTACTGCTCCGGCGCCGCACCTTCCCTCCGTGTTCTGCTGCCCAGTCTGACTGTTTGCGTGCGTGCCGGGGATTACTGCGCTCTCCCACTGCCTTTTAAGCAAATAGTCAAAGCCTCAAACTACGGAGGTGGGATTCTTACGAAAGATTTATGAATATATTTAAAAAGGCTTCCAATTCGCCTGCAAACACCTCCCTCCCCACCCCACCCCCACCCACCCCCAGAGACCTAATATCTGCTTGCAAAACTGCTTTGGTCTCCTCCGGAATATAGAGTTTCCTTCTTCCTCAATTTCCAGCCTCAACCCACCTCAGCCCTCACCTCCCTAACCCCTCTGATCCCCTTGCCTATTCCCCCCACTACTTTGCAACTTCGTTTTCAAAGAGTCTATCTATATCCTGATGCTTCTTTTGCCTAATTAAAACTCTTTTAAAATGGGACAAATGTTTTCAGTGATTTCTTCCTCCATTCCCACTTTCCTCTCCTCTCTGCTATGATTGTACCCAGGAAGGCTTTATTCAAAGTGTGTGAGAGTTTATTGGGTGGATTCTGTTCAAATAACATCACAGGCCCTAGAACTGGCAAGGACTTTATAAATCATCTATGTGCAACCCTCTCATTTTACAGTTGAGGAAACTAAGGCCCATGGAAGTGTCCAGTGGTCTATTACACATAGGGCTTAGAGCTGTAAGGGGTTTCTGAGTTGGATGGTCGTGTACACTTTCATTCTCCTTTTACAGAAGCAGAAAGTGAAGCCCCGAGAGGGGAAGTGACTTAACCAGAAGACAGGTGGAAGCAAAGTGAGAATCCTCGAGCCCAGGTTTCTTCTAGACCCAAATGCAGTTTATGTCTCTTTCCACCTCTCTATTCTATGTTCAGTTGAGGACTTCCTTTCTCTTTAACCCCCTCCTTCTCCCAAAAAAGAACGTGGTGGATGGCCACCGTTCCCGGTGGAGAATCCCCCCAAACTGTTTCCCATAAGTTTGTGATATTTTTTCTGGGATTCTCTTCAAGCCAGAATTAATTGCTATGGGGTCGAGAACCAGTCTCTGATACAAAGAAGTGATAAAAAGATATAGTGTAGCTATAGAAAACCCCTGCAGTCTTTTTACAGGCAGTCTGCTCTTCAGACTTTCTTCACTTTAAAAATCACTTCTCAGAATGAAATGGATTTCAAGGAGTTTGGTTTCCAAAGTCTGCACTGCATGTCCACTAAGAAAGAGGCCAGCCCTGGTTGGTCCTCAGTTTCAGCAAACCTCAAAATGTTGGATAAGCATCGAATACATGTGTCCAGATGTTGCCTTCTAGCAGGAAGTTCAGCTACATATTAAACCATTTTCGAAATTATTCTCTGAATTGCAATTGTAAATGGAGGGAACTCTATAAATGTCACTCTCCATGTTGAGGTTTCTGTTTTGTTTTCGTAAAAGGCAAGGCAACAAGCATTTATTAAGCACTTTTTGTGTGCGGGGAGCTGTGCTAAATAAAGAATCTGGCCAATAACTAGGGTTACTTTTCTTTACGAAATAAACCTATGCAACTGGCCAGAGTGTTTGGCTTCTTCTCACTCTCCCTGCAGTTCAGAAGGGTTGTCTGTGAAGCTCGTCATTATTGGACACAAATTGTCCGGCTTCTAGCAGGAGCATTCACCTAAGCAGAAGGATGGTCTTCGGGAAATTCCCCTCCATCCTCCAGTGGAATGAAATTCACCTTCCCTGTCCCCTGAAAAATATGTTAAGCTTCAATAAAGCACAGGCACCATTCTGCTAGATGGCTTCCTGAATACAGTTGGAGCTGAGAGCAGGCAAATAGGTCTGAGTCACTGATTATCCATGAGTGTAAAAATCACAAGGAGAAAGCTTTTAATCATTCTGACCCAGCAACCCAAGGCACTGTCTTAAAGCAAAGCAATCAGCTCCATCCGACTCTCTATATGCTTAGCCAAGTCAAAGTAGGTCACTTCTAACACTCCACCAAATTAAACTAAACTAATAGTGACTTACACTCTATACACACACACACACACACACACACACACACCTCAAAGGAACAGACCAACACAGAACTGGAATTGGATCATAAGTTTATAGGGCCAAAGCACCATTGGCCTTCGCTCTTAAGAACAGATATCCAGAATACAAATCACACTCCCTTGGACTATTTCTATCTGAGTAAATTGATGGCACTTGAATGAGGCCGCTTATTTTCCAAGGTAAAGAAAATGGTTAAGGATTCAAACTAAGACTTTCCTACAGTAGGTAATCATCTAGTAATGAAGGACCATTCTCAATTTAAAGTAGAGTTTAATTGATTTTTCTGGATTTTCCCCCGTCCAACAGTTAGGTTTTTCACACTGCAAAATTGCCTCCTCCCCAATTCCCTCCCCCCCCCCTTTAAAGATCCAAAATATGACTCCCAGGCAAATTTTCCAAGCTTCAGCTAGGCCCAGCAAAGAGTCCTCATGCCATTGGTTTGAATTCAGGTGGTGGGAACTCAATGTTTAGAAGGGTGGGGGGATTGTGAAGGGAATTGTTTTTCTTCAACAGCCTGAGGTTGACATTTGAAATCGCTGCATTACTCTGTTGCTTTGTACGGAAATCACTTTGCTCATCTCAGTATTTTAGAAATGACTAGTGTGGTCTTCTGTAGGAAGTAAGAGAAGCCATGATTCGATCGTTCAGAAGACCCGATAAGATGCATTATTCGGGCCCGTGAAAATACTGCAACGTGTAAGAAAGACTGAACATCGTACCGAGGGAGCAGGGTGGGCGGGAATCCAGCTGCTCTCCACTGCCCGGAGCTGCAGGATGGAACTGGAAGGGAGGGGACAGCCTGGAGCGCCTGAGGGCCAGCTGGATCTCTGGCAGAGGCCGGGGCTGGGGATGATAACCCGGGACTGGGGGTGAGATAGATGAAGGGCTCCGGAGAAAAGTTATGTAGGAAGCCAAGGACAAGGCTTCTCTGCTTCAGATCCCCCCAGTGCCAGAATATGTCTGGAATAAGCACAAGAGCAGTTCTAGCCCCTGCAATGGACCGAAGGGTGCGTGCGCTGCGTGGTGGGAGACAGCAGCTACGTTTAACCACCTGGGCCAGGGTGGTCAAAGCCCCATGGACAAGTTCGCTTCAGTTCCCAGGTGTCACCTCCTGTGCACCTCGTTTCCTGAGGAGATTCGACGTAGGAGGTGGAGAAGTACAAAGCCGCAGGGAATGAGTCCTGGGGGAAGGAAGGAATGAGCTTTGGGATCTTGTCCATTTCCCCGATGCGGTTCGAAATAAACCTGCTGGGGAAGAAGCAGGAAGAAGCTAGGTCGGTTCTGCCCTCTCCTAGCACAGAGAGGTTTCCTCATCTTTGAGCCCAGGTAGAAATTACCCACCACAAGACTGACCACCGAGCTGAATGAGGATAATCAGCCGCAACCACAGCTTGCTTTGCTGCCCGGAATGGAAGGAGGGCGACCAGGAACGGAGAGAGCTGGGGCCAGGGAGGAAGCATGAGGAGCCCTTGTTCTAGGTCAGAATAATTCTCAGGCTAGAAAGGGGAAGGGGCACACTCCCTTGGGAAAACCCAGAGAGATGAGCTCTCGCCCTAAATCAGAGCCTAGACCGGCCCTTGATCTTTCTTCGAAGCCGTCGGTTAAAGATATAGGCTTGGAGCTGTAAGGAACCTTGGAGATAATCTAACCAAACCCTTCCTCCCTTTATAGGGGAGGAAACTGAGGCCCAGAGGAAAGAAGGAATAGCCCTGAGGTCAAATAGCTAGTAAATGGCAAATCAAGTAGCAAAGGCAGGATTTGAACCTAGGTCCTCAGAGTTTCCTTCTTGGGGATCGTTTCTAGGCCCGGGCTTAGGCAGGGTAGAAGTGGGAGCCCGAAGCTCCTTCTCTCCCCCCCCAGGCTCTCGGCCTCCCCCCCCCCCAATTCCGCCCCCCCCCCCCCCGGGTGAAGAGAGGCAGCCTGCGTTGCTGGGGGTGGGGGTTGGAGGAGAGGAGGAGAAGAGGGGGTGTGGAGGACTTTCAAAACCGTTAGCTATAGTAGGGTTGTTTTTTTTTCTCTCCTCCTCCTCCTCCTTGCTACGGTTTCTTTTCTTTTCTCTTCCTGTCCAAATATTTTTAAATTTCCGCGCCTGAAATAACAGCTCCTTTAATTTACTCAGTTTCCTCCGAAGGCTGGGCTGCCTGCTAGGCTCGTCTCCCCCCACCCCCACCCCATCCCCTCCGCCTGGCTCCCGCGGGTCGTGGGGCTGAGGGGGGGGGGGCAACAAGCGCTGCCTCTGCCCCCGCCCCCACCCCCCCCCTCGGCCCCCCTGCGGGGACCTCGCCTGACCCCGGCTCTTTGGGCGCCTTGGGCTAGCGGGAGGAGGCAGGGATGGGGGAGACCGCGGCTTCCTCCCCTTTTCCTCCACCCCCGGCTCGCTCCCTCCTTCCCTCCTTCCCAGCTTGGCCTCCCCTGTTCCCAGTCTCGGGGCTCCTTTTAGCCCGCCGCCCTTTGGAGAGAGCCGCCTTTTCGCGGGGACTTCTGCTTTTCTGCCCCCGACTCGGACCCCCAATCTCCCTCAGTCTCATCCCCCAGCACCAGCAGCGGCAGCGGCGGCGGGACTGAGTGACCGAAGCCTCTCCCCCCCAACCCCCCGGTAACCTTGGAGGCGCCCTCGCAGTGAGTCTGTGCGGGGCCTGCGGGGGGCGGGGGGAGGGGGGAGCGGCGAGAGCGGGGCAGGCGTTTCCTGGCTGCGGCCGCCAGGCGCCCGGGGACCGGCTTTCAGGGGCCGGCATCTCCCCACCTCCCCCCAACTCCCCCTCCCGCCAGACCAAGCTCCTTGTTCTCTGGATGGGGGGGGCAGTCAAGGGAAGGGGTTCGGCCCGGCGGCGATCCAGCAGGATCGTGACTGTGACCTTGGGCCTCCGGGCTGGAGGAGGCTGGAGGGCAGCGTGGGAGAAGCGAGAGAGGCGACGGGGCGGGGGTAGGAGGGGGCCAGGAGGGCGGGCTTGTCCCGGGTCCCCATCGAGGTGAGCTGGCCCATAGGAGGGGGGAGGGAGTTCTGGGGAGAAGGTCAGTAGCAGGGAGCAGAGCGCGGTGCGGAGCCGAGCCCCAGGGAGCGGCTCGGTGCCCTCGGTCCCCGAGAACTCCAGGGACCGACCGGCCGAGAAAACCAAGCAGCGATCGAGGAAAGGCAACTGTTAGAAGGCACCTGGGCAGGACTGTCCCGCACCAGGCTACAGGACTCATTTCCCACCCCTACTGCCTAGGTTAAGCATATGCACGGTCCTAAGAGTACACATGAACTGCGCGTGACAAATCGTAGGCGCTTAATAAATGTTGGTTGAATCAAACTGAAGAGGCCAGTCCCCGAGCATCCGTGGAACTTAGAGCCAGAGGCTGGGGATGGGGGTGGGGGGGTGGAATCTGTCAGTGCTTTGGGTGGTGGTAGTAGTGGTGCTTTCTGTCTGAAAAGACCCCCAAAATGGAGAGTGGGTCTTCCACATTCCCCCAGCGGCAGGCACGCTGACCCCGGAGTTGGACCTGCTCTGAGTTCCAGGCGGGGCAGACTTCTCAGGCCAGGCTGCGAGCCTCAGGTGCCGGGGAGCGGGGTCTGGGGGCTTCTGGGCTCCCCTCATCTTCCCAGCCTCTGGTCAGCAGTCTCGTCCCTGTCTCCGGGGCAAGAGAGAACCGCGGTGGCCGCCGCCGCCCCCACAGCCGGCTCGGCACCTGCGAAAGCCCAAGCGGAGCTCGCAGAGGAGCAGTCTGTAAAATGGCTTCTGAGAAGTGCAGAGGGACAGACAGATTGCGGGCAAAGAGAGAGAGAGGGACGAGAGAGTCAGCAAAGCCACCTCGGCCCTCCTGGTACTTTACATCCACTTAGGTCCTTCTCTTTTCCCCTCCACCTCACTGGAGCAAGAGTTTTAGGACAGGCCAGGGCAACAGCTCCATAGACAGTACCCCCCCCCCCCCCGCGCGCCTTCGCCCGCCCCCACCTCCTAAAAACCCACTGTCAGCCAAAAATATCAGTTCTTTGGGGGAGGAAGTAACAAGCCGCCAGTCCTTATTCCAACTTCATTTCTCTACTCCGTTAGCACTGTTGGTCAAATTGCTTCAGAGGAGAAATTATCAGCCGGGATTTTAAAGGCATGTCATTGACAAAGTTAACTAAAATGCTGCTAATCCCCCCAACCCCCGTAACACTTAACACGTTGGCATTTGAAAAATATATTCCACTCTCCTGGATAGATCTGGGGAGGCCAGATGGTGAGCAAAGTCTGCCCTTTCTCTCCTCAGTGTTCCATCAACACCCAAGGGACTTGGAAGAGAAACCTTAGGGGACAGACAGCCTCCTTTGCCCCTCAGAGCCGTAGCAAGCACTCTGACTTCTCTGTCATTTCAGTAATCTGTCTTCGGGTGTGTAAGCATAGTGATGAGGCCAAGCTTTTTCAAGACTTAAATTTTAATTTAGATGTTGAACCAAGTTCTGCATCTAGCCTACAATAAAACACGCCCTCCTCCCCTCCCCCGAAGAAGCAGGCTGACAACTGGGACTGGCCAGAGTCTAAGCTTAGGCACTCCCTGGGAAAGGGGCCTCGGAGCGGCCCAAGGAGTTCACACGAGTGTGCAGCAAGAATTAGCCCATCATTTGGCTAATTTCTGTGTAGACTGTAATAGTATCTCCCTGAGCGACAGACTCAAACTGCTTCAAGAGCCACTTGGGCCCAGTTCATGGGCTGTGGTCCTTCCCTTAAGGCACTTCTGTTAAAAAGGGCCCCGGTTCCCCGAGCAGCATCTTTGCGAATGCCTTCACTGCCCCACTCAGCCACTTCAAACCAAACCACCCAAAAGGACTATTTGAAACATTTAAAAAAAAAATATGCATTTCTATTTTTGTCATAACACTAAACAGGTTGGAAGGCAAGCCTCAGACATGCCTACAAGAAATAACCTTAAAATGAATAAATATATTGTGGTTTTCTGCTGATTCAAGATGCAATGAAATCACCTCAAGTAGAGCAAAAATATTATCACATGGGAACAAATGATTAAATTAAGCAGCTGTAACTTCTTAATGATTAACAATAGCGCAATCCTCCTTATCAATACTCAAGTAAACAATACAGTATACTATGGTATCTGAATTGTAAATAAAAGATAATAGCTGACAGTATAAAATGTTGCCGAAGACACAAAGAAAATTATCTCCTTTTTAAAATACAAATACAGTTATTTAATATATTTAAAATAAAATTATAAATTTTTATAGCACATTGTTTCATCTCCTATACTACAATTATTTTTTGCTTCCCTTTCTCTCTACATAACTATAAATTACTGATTAATGTGAGTCATCACAATTCTTTATTTTTTTGTCTCCACACTGTAAGTAATGAACAAGCAAAATACCTAAAGGAAGCATGTTTTTCAGCTTTTTAAAAAATTCTTGACCCTACAGACATCAATTTCCATGATGTATTAACATTACTCTGATTTTAAAGGCAAATTTATTTATGGAAAAAGGTAGTTATTGTCACTTTTATTTAAATTCTATAGTGGGCCTATGTGGAGTGGAGGGAAGCACATAGTGCCTGGTCTTATTTTCATAAAAATTATATGAGGGAAAAAAATCACTGTGAACTCTATAGTATAGCAACTCACAAATTATTATGTTTAATATAAATTATACAAAAATTTCCTGAAATATTTAAGAACATAATACATGCTAAAAGGTTAGACATGGTTGTAAGAAGAATAAATTTCATCTCTGGCCTTTGGCAAAGTAATTTGCTATTTATTAACTTCTCAAATCAGGATATGACATAATTTTTGCCTTACAAGACTAATAGAAAATTAATTTGTTAAGATCTATAGAGAAATGTGAAAAGAAGAAAATGTCATAAAAGCCAAAGCAACATAAATATATTTTTTTTTAAAAAAAGCAAATCATTCCCTCTGAAGTTGAACATCTGCTGTAATATATCTTCCTTATTAGAATTATATTTCAGATGATCATTTTTTTCATTGTTAGTTCCTCTCACTAGATCCAAAAGCTCCTATGTATCCCTTCAGTCTAAAAAGCATGTAATTGATGTGCAACAAAAGACAAAATAGCACTATTTAGTGCTCTTTCATGTCATTAAAAAAACCTCTCCCTTGGTAAATCCAAGCAAAGAGCAAGAAAAGAATTATGTATATGTATGTGTGTATATTACATATATTTTAGAATTTTACCAATTTAATTCAACATTTCTTTTGAGCTGCCAAATTATGGTTTTTACTATAGTGACAGAAACTGTTTTCCCCATACACAAGTTCATTTTCCTTTCTGATCCAAGTAAAAGAAGATTAAATAATAGATAACAATGATTCCCATTTCTAAAGCACTTTAAGGTTTACAAAGTATTTGCCTCACTTTGCCAGATTCTTTAACTTAAACTGATTTTATGGACTTCAATTGTCTTAGCTGGATATGCTGTTTTATAGATTTTCCCAAGTAGTGTAAGCTGTTCTAAATGGTCCACTGATGTGTGCATATAGGTATAATAAACTCTTAGATAACAGTTTTTTCTCCCTTTCCCAATTGGAAACTCTAAGGAAAGTGAGGAAACCATTTTTACTGGAAGCCCACCATATTTGCTGCCAGAAGCTAATGTTTTTCAATTTACTAAACTTTTCCCTTGGCCTTTTCAGTAAAATAGATTGAAAGGGGCTCACTAGCTATCTTCAAGTTAATCTTCAAGATTTGATAAGCAAAATAATAATAATAACAACAACAATAATAATTTGTGAGCTTTTGCAAAAATGATATGGTAGCATTGAAGACATTACTTATAAATACTGTGGTACTTTGTAACTACTGAATTGTGAGATATGCTAGATTATAATGAGCCACATAAAATAATGTGAAAGAGGAAAAGTAAGAAAAAATTTAAAAAAAACTTTGTGTAAAAAAACAAAACAAAATAGAATGTTTGCCTCCCAACAGCCCAAGGAAGGTAATGAAAGTAATGTGAATTGAAGAGTATGAACCAGAAACCACAGCTAACATGATAGTGTTTCTAGTTCTAGCCTGACTACTGTTTCAAAATCCTCCTTGCAAAAAATATATGTAAAAGCCAATGACCAGCTAATACAATAATATTTTAGTTATTAAAAATACAGTGATAAGAATAATAAGGAAAATGGATCATTTCACATGAGGTGTTTAATATTAACATAAAAGGTCCTTTAATATTAATTAATCATGATGGGTTATTTGCCATCGTGATTGAAATCCAAAAACAAGAACAAAACAAGCCACAACAACCTTAAAAAAAAAAAAGAGGAGGACATCAACATCTTTTTAATCATATGATAATAGGAAATAATATTTAAAAATTAATTTCTAGGTATTTTTAATTTTCTAGTTTTCAGTGAATTTTCCTATCATTTTCATCTGGATATGGATAAATGTATATTTTTAATTTTCAGCTAAGGGAATAGTTGTGAAGGCCAGTGATTGTTTATTGTTATATGGGTAAAGTGTGTTTATGACACAGTTTACATGCAGATAAGAGATACCCCTACAACATATCAGTGACTAACTCAGAGCCATATTCAGATGGCAGAGAGATGGGTGGCCACATTGGATATTCGCCCTTGGGGCTGATAAATGTAGGATTGAGGTGGGCATTATG